TGTGTGAGTTTATGTGTGAGTTTATGTGTGAGTTTATATGTGTGTTTATATGTGTGTATTATGTATGTTTATATGTGTGTTTATATGTGTGTATGTATGTATGTGTGTATGTGTATGTGTATGTGTGTGTGTGTGTGTGTGTGTGTTCCTCTGACAGCCTCATAAGGACTGTTTGTGTGTTTCTGTTTTTAGCATGGCTGTGCCTTTCGTGCAAGACTGGGACCTTGTTCAGACGCTGGGAGAAGGAGCCTATGGAGAGTATGAATCCTCCTTTTATCTGTATCATTTACAATATTTGTCATAGCAGAGCATCTACACACACACACACACACACACACACACATATGGTTTCAGTATCCTCTGGACATTTACTATGCAACATGAACTGCAGGTGGTGTGGTTAGCAAAGAATGAATCACTAGGGACCTGAGCGGCACATTTCTGCAACCTGCTCACCACAGGGCTTTCTTATAGATTTATAACGTTGGAATAAGAGCAAATAAAAGCTACTTGTTAATCTAAGAGGTCAATGAGATAAAAAAAAAATGCTCATTAAAAGTAGGAGGAGAAATTTAAGAGCTCTTCTTCGTCTGCAGGTTTTTTTTTGTGATTTAGTGATTTCATTTCCCCGTAAATGTCCCTGTTTTGTCTATTAATTAAATCAGTGTCATGTTTGTAGACATATTGACTTCTTACACACAGTTCAGTCAGGAAACTCTTGTTTATTGCAGCAATAGTTTATCAGTGTGGCTGTGCTCATGTGATGCTCTGCAACACATTTGACCCTAACCTTGTGTTTTTACTGGAAGAGTTGACGTGGACACTCTTTCCTCACATTCCCCTTCCACCATTGAAATATGTACTTACTTAGTTAACGCAAGAATGCAACAAACGTACATTTGGTGACTTTTCCTTGTTTGACAGACAGCTTCAGTTTGTCCTTTGACCTCTGCGCTCTCTTGACTTTCTTCATCCATGTTTCCTCTTCGTGTTCACGGTTGCAGAGTGAGGCTGCTGGTGAACAGACATACGGAGGAGGCAGTAGCAGTGAAGGTGATCGATACCTCTCAGGCTAAAGAGTGTGCTGAAAATGTCAAGAAGGAGGTCTGCGTGCATAAGGTAGGTCCGCCACCTTCAAGTGTGGATGTACAGTAGAGGTATTAACACTGAGTTTTAATGGCACTGAAACAGAAGGGTTCTTAGTAATGCTAGTAGGAGACATGTGATATCTTTAAAAGATCACCTCTTAAATTGACTGGAGCTTAATATAACTGTTACTGTTTTCTGTTTAACTTGCACAACAATGTATTTACACATTTCATGTACATATTTGTCAGCCGCTTAATGGTTTGAAATTTGTTAAACTTTTTGCTAGATGCTCAACCACGCCAACATCGTACGCTTTTTTGGCCATCGGAAGGAAGGTCCAACTATGTACCTCTTCCTGGAGTACTGCACCGGAGGAGAGTTGTTCGACAGAATTGGTGAGGCAAAGACAACATAGGACTGCTACTCTTGGAAGATGTGACCAATAATGGTCACCTGTATACATAATCGTCATCATTATCGTTCACTCTTCTCTTTTAATGTGACAACTGTCATGAAAAGAATCACAAAACATTCAGTTTTAGACAGTCAGGTACAACTTTAATCCTCCATTGTTGCCACACTTTTAGGTTATTAAAATGATGTTCTCTCACTTTGATTTCAGAGCCTGATGTGGGGATGGTGGAGAAAGATGCACATAGATTTTTCCAGCAGCTAATAGCAGCTGTGGTGAGTGAAAGAAATCTGTGTGTTGATGACCTTGCACCATTTCTGCTGTTATTAAATTCTCAGTGGCTCTGTTGCAGGAATATCTCCACAGTAATGGCATCACCCACAGAGACATTAAGCCAGAGAACATCCTGCTGGATGACAAAGGTGAGGAAATACAACGTCGTCTCAATGTGTTGGACTAACTTTGGTTTGCATGTATTATAACTATCATCTGCTGTTTTCCTTGGCCTTTTAGATAACCTCAAGCTGACAGATTTTGGCCTGGCCACCATGTTTCGTTTCAAAGGACGAGAGCGTCTTCTGAGTCGACTGTGTGGAACTCTTCCGTACGTGGCTCCAGAGCTTCTCAGCCAAACAGAGTACAAAGCTCAGCCTGCAGATATCTGGGCTTGTGGGATAGTCCTCACTGCCATGTTAGCTGGAGGTAAGATCACAAAGTCTGTGTTTACAGTGTGTGAACACACGTCATACACTCAGTATGTGGGGTATTATTAGTAGAGAGACGCGAGGCGAAGCTACTGTGTGAGGTCAAAGGGATGGGTGCTTGCCAGTGTTATAAAAGTGGAGGGTTACAAAATACATTAAGATTATCTTTTTCCAACATGTTTTTGACATTACTAAGGCTCAATATCCTCTGATATGGGTCATTATCCTCTATCCAGTCATATACATATATTTGCTCTGTGCTGAGAAACTTGGGCCGTACAGACAAGAAGGGTAATGATTTAAAACTGCACCCGAAGGATGACAGGGGGTGTTGTGTTACTGGTATAACATTTTTGTAACTGAAGAAATACTAGACAAAACGTGAGGATAACTATACCAAACAAAAGTGTTGAACACTTACTACCTATATCAGAATACAGTCACATGGGGATAATTTGACCGTGATATATAGTCAGAAGTCATAAAGTCATAATTGGAGGATTTGAGTGGAAATGGCAC